ACCATCAACGACGACCGTTTGTTGGCCATCGTTGAATAGCAAATACGGCCAGATCCACCGTGGATCTGGTCGGAAAAGGTCATATCGGTGCACGATCAGTAAGATCCAGCCGGTCATGCGCCGATACAGCGACTCCGGCCACCCTTCGGCCGTGGTGGCCGGCTGTCCGTATTTGAGGGTGGGTTGGGGGTGTTTTTATTAACTTTTAATGTTTTATTATAGGGGGTTTTTTGTAAAAAAATAAACATATGGGGTATTTTATAATTTATAAATCCTACATTGTAATACCCGCCCAATTCAATTTTTTTTTAACTTTTTTCAAAAAAACTTTTCCCAAAACACAAAATTGTGAACCAAACGGAGCCGATAAAATGATGATTTCGATCGATTTTGGTGAGAAAATCGACCGGAACCAAAATTGACCGAAATCAACTCCAAACCACTGGCGGCAGAAGAGGGCTGGAGATGATTTATGTGAATGTCAAATTTTAGGATTGAATTGGGGGTGAGTAATTTGAGATATGTAAATGACTATTTTAGTCTTCCATTGTTAAAAGAGATTCAATGTGTTAATTTAAGGGTATAAACTAGACTATATAAAACTAGAGGTACAAACTTACTATTTTGTTAAACTTTGGGTGGAAATATATGTAAAAAGTTTATAATAAATTTGGGTTTTTTTGGCTTTTTTTTGAGGGCCTCTTGACTTAGATAAGAAATTATAAACCATTTTCATTTTTGTAAGATATTCAAAAAATTTATAAAAAATTTGGGCCCCCATTTTTTTGGGGCCCTAGGCAGGTTCCTCACATGGGGCCCTAGGCAGGTTCCTCACCTGCCTACCCCTTAAGCTGGCCCTGTTGAAGGCACTGCACTTTTGAATATTATCTATAGCATAACTAGTATGGCTAAAAGGTTTCCCATGTAAAATCTATGTTTCATAAGTCATACTATAATAAGCTCTTCTCAAATAAGTGACACCAAAAAAACCACCTCAATTTTAATTATACATATGAAAAGTGTTTTAAATTAATTATACATTAAAAAAAAAAAAAAACTCTTTGTATTAGTGCCATATTTTTAGAATGATGCTATTCAAGATCACTATTTTTTTTTTTTTTTTTTTTTATAACCAAAGTGTCTAGGCCAACTTGCATTATTCGTTTGATTAATTTGTAAATAAATCTTTAATTGATTCTATACAGATATCTATACACATAAGTCTCTTTAAATGATTGAAATATGTGAAATTCCTTCACTAATATCTTTAGCTTCAATTCGAGGATTAAATATAAAAAAATAAAAAGAAAAACTCTAAGAAAATTTAAAAATATAGAGAGAATTCTAGAGAGTACAAGAGTCACTACTCAAATTATTTATTTATTTATTTTTTTTTTGTAAAAAAATTTATGATCCTAGCCTCCCACAAAGCAATGACAACATGTTAATATAATACATGCATTTTTTTTTATTATAGAATGAAAATTATTCAATTAAAGAATAAAATAAAAGATTAAAAGATTTGATATTTGATATTTGTCAACAAAAATTAACTAGTCATTTTCAATATAGCAGAGCAACATTCAGGTGACCCAGCCTCGCATGGATTTTGAATTCAAGGGCCAGGCTTCAAATCCAAATGAAATTAATGGGCCTCTTCTCCAATTTGTTTTACCTTGTTTCATTCCTATTTAAAAATTAAAATAAATTTCTAAATCAGTTCTTTTATCATCCATGTATTAATTACAAAGCTACATATTTCCTGTTTTATAAATTTAGAAAATATGAAAAACACGTTAATTAATTGTTTTCAAGTTAAAGATTACAGTTTTAGTGATTGTCTGTTTTATTAAAGTCAATTATAGCATGCAATAAAATATTCGAAATTCGTAGGTTATTAAATTAAATAAAGACATGGAGACATTGAAGCACATGGCTCAATGTTCCTTTCGTTATTGGTATTGATGTGAACACTCAACAAAATATTTGATCATCATTTGTAATTTTTTTTTTTTTTTTTATCATCAGGTTTTTAAGTCAATATGTGTATATTTAAACTAATTTTTTAATGTTTTAGAATTATCAATTAAATAAGAGCTTTAATGATTATCACTATTAATATAAGAATTTATGAAATTTTTTTTTGCTCTTTTACCATAAAACATAAAGATGATTATCCTATGTAATCTTAATTCAAATACTATTGGCTCAAGTTACCTTTTTAAATATTTTTAAATTATTTTTTGTCATGCATAGGGAGGTGAGATAAATATAGTTATGAATATGATGCTCCAATAATTCCAATACAAACTCCAAGTAAACAAGATAATTTATTAAATTAATAACTTGGTTCGAGTAGCTTTCTGATTTCTCTTTTATTTAATGCTAGTTCCTTCACCGTAAAGGAATTTAGAGCAGATGTGTAACTTAGTATAATAAGATGTATTTTAAGGAATTAATGTAAATAATACTTTTATTTATTGATACAATAATATCACATAAATATTACATATAATTTTATTTTCTAAAGCCATTTCAAATAGTCATTCATAAAAAATTTAGTAAAAATTATGAATTAATATAAATATATAGAGCAAATATTTTAGTGAAAGCCAGTTATGAGTTATATTGAAGCAATCACATGTGCAATAGAAATGGGTTGTGAGGTATGTATCCTGAAGTGGACCATCGTTTTTATAGAAAAAATAAGATTTCATTTTTTATTTATTTTTAAATAAAAAAACATGGAAAATTTATTACAGGCCCTACTGAAAATGACTAATAAAATTTATATCTATTGCTTTTTTATTTTCAATTTTTCAATATGTCATTCAATACTATAGTATAAATTGACTCACCACTTCCTCTTAATAAGTGGGCAAAAGTTCACATGAGATTTGTGATAAAGTCACAAGTCCGGCAGATCTTATTAACTTCTGCTTGACTTATTAGTATATGGTATGATATTAATTCTAGATATTATTATTTTGTTAATTATTTCTTAATTAAAATCACATGTTTTAATCTGTTGACGGTCAAATTATACGTGGATGGAGTAATAAGTAACTCCAACTTGTGGTTGTCTTTATTGCTTGCTGGCAATTCAGCTGCAGCCAACCTGTATTATTTCCATTTTTTCTTTTTTTAATTGAGTGTGAGTGTTCCAAGCAGTTTTTGTGTATCTCAATTAATCTCTCAAGACCATAAAACCATTGACTAGATAAAAGTTCTAATGACTACCCCTATTAGCAATCAATAAAGAATTTAAATTCGAGACCTCTTGAGTGGTATATTCAAGAATTCCTATCGAATCACTCAGTTACCCAGAGATAGTTTACCCAACAATTCTCAATATCAAATAAAGTAAATCTCCTTGTGAGGGGATGGTAAACCCTATAGCCACTAGGATTAGTTATACCTAGGGGGTCCTGTATTCGAGTTGTAGGAAAGATACATACCTTATAATTTGTGTAATTACCTTCATCTATTAAGTTTATAGGGTGTTCTATGACTTTAAGGATTAGACATACTCTAATATGGCCTAGATACCTTAATAGAGCGAGACATCATTTCAATAAGGAAAATGCTTTAATTATTGGATGTCACAATCCTTTAATTAGCAAGAAATAAAGATTAAATTGAAGATTTCGTTACATCCTCATATTATTATTATTTATTTTCCCTAATTGTATATGTCCCTACAGGGAATACTTATATGGGTCACAAAATAATGGATTAATCATGAATGTATTTTAGAAATTAATTACTTAATATATTTTTTTTGGTAACCACGGTGTTGGGGGTCGGCTTATGAACAAATCCTCGGGGTTTATTGAATATTTTACAAGCCTAAAAGATCATATCATGGTTATTAGTATCTTACGATATGCAATATGTATTCTATGATACGATTCGATACAGGTCGTCAACGATACATATCAGAGAGTGTATCATAAACTTTTCGATAGTTGATATGTATCCTATAATACGATCTGTATTGATTCGTATCCTTAAAAATATCGATAAGACTTTATTAATTTGGCCCAAAGACCCAACAAAATTTTCAGGTTGGATCTAGGTCACCCAACCCGGTTCACTAAAACCTGCCCAAATTTACCTATTTTGTATAGAGAAAGTGAAGAGGAAGATGTGATGCCCATTTTGCATGATAATAATAACACAAGTGGAGATATATATATTGACATTGATTTTAGAAATTATATGAATAGTTGAGAGGAAATGATATAAATTCTTAATTTTGTGATTAATTTTGATTATATAATACCATAATTTAAAGCCAATAATATCACAAAATTCGATAATTAATCTTAGAGATGAAATTAATTTTTAGAAATTTTTTATTATTTTATTATTATTTTTGAAAAAATCCGTATCCTACGATACGATATATGATTAAAAAAATTATATTTTTGATATATGATATAATACATAATTTAATAATTATAGATTAAATAAATTACAATATTATTATAATAAATAATTTTAAAATTTGAATATAAAAATAAAAGTAAAGGAATAAACTTTCTTGACGAAGAGAGAGACTACTCCTGAGTTAAAAAGAGAGGAGCATTACGAGGATGATTGTCCTTTCTATTATTAACTCTCTTACGTACTTAAATACATTTATGTCAAGAAAAATATTGATACGATAATATAAGATTCTCTCACCGTCACTGTTTTGTTTTGTTGTTTCCTACAATAAAATATAATGATATTAACCATACATATGATCAATAATGATTATTCATTCTATCGCTATTGAGTGAAGACAAAGTATTTATAATTGGCAAAAATTGTCAAATCCCTTCTGGGAAGCTAAAGACTTAAGGGCGCCATTGTCCTTTACTGTCACCACGTCAATTTCTAATCTCTTACACACGTCTGGGTCCCCATAATTTTCGGATTTTTCAGCTTTGAATTACTAACCGCCACATGATTTCATGTTCACTTACCCCACTTCTCAACTCAACTCAACTCAACTCGACTCGACTCAACTACATCATCAAAAGGAAAAAAGTGTTTTCTTAATTTTCCTGCAACACTCTTTTGTTTTGTTCCCTTCTAGATTCATTCACTGCTGGTAGATTCAAAGTTAAAAGAACAAAACAACCAAAGTTTAGTCAAGAAAATAAAAAAAAAGTTTCACTCTTTACTTTGCTTTTTTTTTTTTTTTTCTTTCTTTAATTTTTCTCAAAAGAATGGAAATGAAGCTTCTTGCAATGATTTTGCCCATGTGGGCATGTAGCATTTGTTTGTTCTCATCTGTACTTGTTGCCAGACCAGACACAACTGTTTCCAACATTTTTAGTTCTGGTTTTGTTGCCGTGAAGGAACCCCTTTCTCAGTTTTCTGCAAAAATGGAAGCTCAATCTCCAGGTATGTCAACAATGGCCCCTGTTTTGTTTATGAATGTTGTTTGTTTTCACTTCGTTTCAAAATTGAACTCAAGTTTATTACTTTAAGTACAAAATGGTTCATTTTGAGTGTGCAGTCTGTTTGGTAGATGAGATTTTGCGCAGATAGAGCCCACCAAAAAACACTTCACTGATTACCTTCTTCAAAACATGAACTTTATTTTAAGGTTGATTTTTTTCTTTACATGGTTTAGTTGATTTTCACTCTCGAAATTTGGAATTAAGTTTGTGAATTAAAGACACATATCAAGATTTATGCAGAATTAGAAGAATTACTTAGTTTCTTTGGATTTCGAGTTTGTGTTGAATTTGGCTGTTGAAAATATTGGAATAAAATGAAGCTAGAATTTTAAATTTTACAGTCTTTTTTTTCTTTTTTGGGTCTTGGAGTTTGCAAATAAAAATCACTTCTGAAATGTACTTAATGCAACAGTATATCTCAGTTAAGGTGAGTATTTTCTCATAAACCTTAACAATATATTTTCCAATTCTCAGCAGCCTAATCTGGATTTTCTGCAATTAAAATTTGAGAAAAGATGATGAAAAATCGAAAAACATTCATGCAAAAAATTCTGAGACATTGACAGTTATTTGGATGATCAAGCATGTGCCTATTTTGTTTTTGTTTTAAGTGCGTTTCTTGTCATTTTCTTTTCATAATCTGATATAATTGCTGACGTTGTTTGTGTTTGTGCAGGAAATTCTGAGGTTAGAATGGTGCACCACCAAGATCTGAACAAGAAAATACTTATAGCACTTGTTGTCACACCGACTATTCTTGGTGTTCTATTGCTGTTCTTTTTATGCTTTTGGATCTATAGATTGAAAAAACTGAAGGATTCCAATGGAAAAAGCAAACAGAACTTTGGTATGTACTCTTTCGTGAAATTAAATATGCTTTTGTCCTTACCGTTGTCTAGACCGATTATCTATCTGTTAATATTCCTGTTATGTTCATCTTTCTGCTTTACCTGTTACATTATGTAGATTCTGGCAGAGGACTTTCATTGAGTCCAATGATGGAACGATTTAATTCATTGAGGACAACTGGTAAGAATGATTCAGTTGCTGTCATTGAGTATCAGTATTTAGAAGTTGCCACAAACAATTTCCGGGAAAATAATGTTCTGGGTGAGGGAGGTCGTGGGCGTGTTTATAAAGCACGGTTCAATGAAAAATTCCTTGCAGCAGTGAAGAGAATAGATGATAGAGGGCAGGATGCTGAAAGAGAATTTGAGGTAGTTTTTCATTTTTCTTAGATTGATTTGTATATCTCTTTCTGTAATTTGAAACTAGTTCTAATGGATTTTCTTTTGTGAAACATTGGCTTGCAACTGCAGAATGAACTGAACTGGTTAACTAAAATCCGGCATCAGAATATTATTTCTCTTTTAGGTTACTGCATCCATAATGAAACAAGGTTTCTTGTATATGAAATGATGCAAAATGGCTCTTTGGAGGACCAATTGCATGGTATAAACTTCTCTTTATTTTTAAGTAACTTGGCATAGATGATGGAAGATTGTAACTTTTTAACATATTTGTTTTATTTTTTTGGATTAACATTGCAGGTCCTACTCATGGATCTGATCTTACATGGCATCTACGGATGAAAATTGCTGTTGATGTTGCTCGGTATTGCATCTAGCCAGCTTCGTTGTTTACATATTTTTGCTTTATTTTGTTATTTTAATGTTAGTTTCAACTATTGTTCTGAATGCTAGAGGACTAGAACATCTTCATGAGCACTGCAGCCCTCCTCTAGTCCACAGAGATCTGAAATCGTCCAATATTCTTCTTGATTCCAACTTTAATGCAAAGGTAAATATTATATAAGAATCATGAAAAATTAGGTGCATATATTTGTATAATTTTTTTACAATGTTAATTAGAATGTTTCCCCTTCTAAGTTTTTGCTTCTTCCAGCTTTCAGATTTTGGCCTTGCTGTGACTGGTGGAACCCAAAGCAAGAATGTAAAGCTTTCTGGAACGCTGGGCTATGTTGCCCCAGAGTATCTTTTAGAGGGTAAGCCAATGCTCCATTTGACTGAAACATGATAAGTTGCTTCTTCTGTTAAATGTTGCTCTTTAACTTTTCCCAGTCCCTTGAATAGTTCTTCCTCTGTCTTGTAACCCCTCAAGTTTCTGTCATGTGCTATAATAGATGACTGTTTTCAGTAGAAATAAGTTTCTACTCGAGAGATGACTGTGTTTCAACTTTGAATTTCTATTATGATTTTTATATCTTCATCCATTGTGCACAATCAAGCTTTTCTACTGTCCCCAGAAAATACTTGTGTTTCAACTTAAGGTTTAAACATTTGGATCAGTCACTTGCTGCGGAATGATGTTTTCTATATATTATTATCCTTTTCCCTCTTTCATCAAGCCATAGAAAAAGTATCTTGCAAACATAATTAACCAGGATCACTCATCCCTCAGCTGTTTGAACTTAAGGCCTTTAATGATATCTCATATATCGCTTGCACTGAATTCCGAGTTTTGACATGATTAAATATACTTGAATAAGGATACTATATGAGTAAATTCTTCATTTTTTAGTTGAAGATCTTTTGATCAATCATGCTCATAATTTCCAGTAGAATTCAAATATTCGATCTTTTTTACTTACTAGTTCTAGATAGCCTGACTTATTTGTTCCATATTTTCATGTCACTTCATTGACCTACAAGACTGCTTGTTCATAGCCTTCAACATATACATAATAGAACTACTCTATATTCATGGAGATGTTATGATTGGAAAATTATTTAAAAATTGTCTTGAATTGGCTGTTGTGATTGTGAAAACTATGTAATTATGGTCATATGGTGCTATGCTGTTTGAGCCTCTCTGGATTACAAGTGTAGCAAATGTCATACAAGATTATATCAAAGCTCTTGAATGAGGCAGCTATCCTTGTACTGGTGTCATTTCTTGACAATATAGCATAGTATGTGACGTATAAAAATGTGAGAAAACAGCCTATCGAGTGCAGCCATCCCCTTCCCATACCCTCGGAAGATCATAGAGTTTTATTTACTACTGATGGTGCCTCAATATAGATTTGAGTAATTCTCGGAAAAAGACTAACATGATCATTACTTTCTCAGGTAAACTTACTGATAAGAGTGATGTATATGCCTTTGGAGTTGTATTGCTGGAGCTTCTGATGGGAAGAAGGCCGGTGGAAAAGATGTCACCAATTCAATGCCAATCGGTAGTCACATGGGTAATTTTCTTTCAATCACAAAGCAAACTGCATTAGGGAAGTTTCAGTTAGGATTGTGGGAGTTCTGGAACTTATCTTATAACCAATTTTTACAGGCCATGCCTCAGCTCACTGACCGATCAAAGCTTCCCAACCTTGTGGATCCTGTAATTAGAGACACGATGGATTTAAAGCACTTATATCAGGTAAATATTGCCGAAGAACTATTGTTAGAATATTTATAAACCATAATCCTGCTTCAGTTACAAATTTGAGTTTCGTACTTTCAATGTACAGGTTGCCGCTGTAGCAGTGCTATGTATACAACCTGAACCAAGTTACAGGCCATTGATAATGGATGTTCTGCATTCGTTAATTCCTCTTGTACCGACCGAGCTTGGAGGGTCATTACGAGTTGCATAAGGAGCATAACCTTTGCCTTGTCGGCACCCAGCCTTCAGACAAGTAAACCTTGCTTATCACGTCAGCCAGCATTACATTCTTTAATGCTGCTGGATGTTCAAAGTACATCACATGGTTCTCGTTTTTTTGGTTCCTGATCATTCTTTTCCAGACAAAAGTTGCCTTCAGGGATACATATACAGGGAAGATCATGGTAGCTAGAAATTTAGTTTCTCATTGATACAGCTGTAAATTATATGTCATTGCGTTGTAGAACTTGCAATGTAGTTTCTTTGGTTTAGATTATTGAAAATGGAATGTACTTTTGGATGAAAATGAAGAATTTTATTTTTTGAATCAGAAGAAAGGTAGGTTACACTGCAATGCCAAGATTCTGATATCGTTGAAATATGAACGTCCTATATTCCTGATCGTATCTAACATTAAGATGATTTTCTTAAGCTTTTTGGTATACAAAATGTGAAGTTCTAAAGCAATCATCATGGCTATAAGACCTTCTGGACCTCAAAAGTTACCGGTAACCTTCCTTCTAGGATGATACGTTTTGGAAGTTGTAACGATCCTAATTGAGTCTGACGTCGTTAAGGAATGACTTGGCATCTGGGTTTGTAATCACTTGGGCATTCTCCTCTTAAAAGCCAATTTTAAAGGTAAGTTGTACCCATTTGTGGTGGTCTTGTCGCGGATGGGGCAACAATAGGGATGAGATAGGTATAAGGAAAATAATAAAGTTTCCGGCGATAGTGCACCGAATGACGTGACAAAATCTTGACCGTTGATTAATTTTAACTTAATATTAATAAATGGTCAGGATTTTGTTACGTCATTTGGTGTACAAATTCGATGAACTACCGTCGGTGACTGTAACATTACTCTAGGTATAAAATTCTCCTAGCTGGGTATATAGAACCACAGTGAATGCCGTTTGCTTGATGCAATAGCAATTTCATCCCAACTGACATGATACTAAGTCGCATCTCTTTTTGTTGTCATTATAATCCAAAATCTTCATTACATCTCTTTGAAGAGTTCTGGTGAAACGTTCAACCATGTGGACACATTTATCAATTGATGCATCAAAATCTTGCTTTCATTGATGATGAAGGGTCTCCAAAACTATCATTAATGTCAATGAAACACACCATACATCTTGGGGACCATTGTCACACTTTCAATCTGAATGATGAACTTCTAGGAGCTCCTCTACAATTATTGTTTGATCTCATTTTGGGTTGTGGATTCATGAACAGAGATGCATTATTAATTATTCCTGGACCCTGCTGGCATTAACACAATTAGAAAATTGTACATTTTCAATGAGAATTTTTTTTTTTTTTTTTGAGTAAACGACATATTCCCACCCAAGGTTTGACAAAATCCCAAGTTGGTATCCCAAGTTCCATTTATTCCATATTCCTACCCTTAAAATAACACTGTTAACAATTTTTAGGGTAGTGAGAGTGCAATTACCATAATATCCTTAACCCTAAATTAATAAATTATGTTTTAACCCCTAAATTACTAAAATTATAAAATTAACCATCTTATTTTGAAATTACTTCAATTACACACCCTCAGTGACTACGCACTGTCTCGGTTTTCATCAGATCTGGGTTGTTTCCAATGGCGACGAACCCCCTGGTCACCTCTATCACCTTCCCCATCATCCGTCTGGTTCCCGACTCATTGGGCCATCCAATCGCCGGCACCGTCAGGCTTAGGTTTTCGTCGTTCTTCACTGGATTCCGATGACGAAAATCCAATTGGACATCACCACTGTAACCAACGTCTCCAAATCTACAAAACCCCTATGTCCCTAACAACCGTGTAGTGGCCATTCGCTGGTGGAGACTGACGAAAACCAATCGCATGTGGCGGTTGTCGTGGTTGGCGATCGACGAGTGATGAGGGGTTGTGAAGGGTAAGGTTTTGTAGAGGAGAGGATGAGGGTTTGAATGGTGGTGACAAGGGTCATTTTGGGTGGAAGAATCATCGGAAAAGGGCGAAAACATCGGCGATGATGTTAGCTAACGTGCACCAGAGCTTTGTTAGGGGTGAAGATCTGCTAATGTGCGCCTCCTTTGTGAAACGACCAACTTGCCCCTGAGCCATTATATCTAACCATTTTTCGTTACTTTAAGGGTGAGAATCTGGAATAAATGGAACTTAGGGTATCACTTAGGATTTCGTCAAACCTTGGGTGGGAATATGTCGTTTACTCTTTTTTTTTTTTGGGTATTTGGGGTATTTGGGTCAGTTTGTGCGTACCTCAACTAATCTCTTAGGATCCTAAAGTTAAGAACCAGATAAGTCTCTAATGACTATCTTTTATTAGTAGTAATAAGAATTAGAACTTAATATTTATTGAGTAATATACCAAAGTCCTGTGAACCGCCAAACTATCTGGAGGAAAGATGGTTGATACTCATGGATATTGCTTTGACAAATTTTCTAATTTGACTAGTCCAAACCATAATTTCTTTGACTCTGCACTATATTTCACACATACCAAAAAACACTGCGTTGAATTCTATTTTTCACTCATTTATTTGACCAGCCAATTACTTTTTCTGGTTACCAGCACCATTTTCAGCATCAATCATAACTCTATATAGAGTCTTCTGTAATTCTCCAAACTGTAAACACCATGAAGAAAAAAATAAATAAATAAATAAATATGTCAATATAGGAATTGACAATAAAAGAAGAATACAGTGCCATTTTTGTACTGGCCTACTAATAATGCAACAGGGTTAATGACATCCATACCCCTGAAACTTGAGAAACTCATTAAACCATAATCAAGAAACGAAAGATTCAACTCTTATAAACTTGAATTCACCTAAAATTTCAAGGACTTATAAGTTATAAGGCTTCATTTGATTGGCTTTTGGGAATACTATTATTAGTATTCCCAAAAAAGTTAAACAGTAAAATGTCATTATTTTCAAAATATTATTTTATATTTTTCAATTTCTTTTAAACCTTTTAAATTTGTTAATTTAACTAAACACCCCCAAATATTTTTTTAGAAATTGCAAAAACACTCCGGCTACCCTCCGGCGGTGGTGACCGGCTGTCCGTATTTAATGGGTCAGTTAGGAGTGTTTTTATTAACTTTTAATATTTTATTATAGGGGTGTTTAGTAAATAAACAAACATAGGAGTATTTTTGTTAATTTCTAAATCCTACATCGTAATACCCGCTCAATTTAACTTTTTTCAAAAGATTATTCTAAAAACTATCAGAATAATGAACCAAACGGAGTCTTTTGAAATTTTAGGTGAATTCAAGTTAATTAGTAGAGGATTTAAATTCCTTGCTTTAGTCTGACTCTGTCTACAAAGGGTTCAGAGGCCCGTTGAACAAAGTAAATGACGTGGGCCTGGGCCTTGGTTTGAATCAATTAATTTGAACAAAAAATCCTTTACTGATTAAAAGGGCTCTTTCTTGTGGTTGATATTGGGCTCGAGGCCCTTCGGATGGAGAATTTTTGTTTTCCCTTAAGGTTTCGTGAGAGTACAGACACAATCTCAGATTCCGCAAACAACCATAGGTGGAGGTGGATGCACCATATCCACCTGATTTGGAATTTGACATTGGAAAATATATAGACGCTAGATTGGGTATTCATTTTAAGATCCTTAATAGAAATGCACCCAAATTCTTCACTGGAAACTATACTCTGTCGTATCATTCTCACATTCATTTAATTGTATTAGATATCAAAACAAAACATTCCTTTTGAAAATTCACCGATCATAATGCTAATTAAAAGAATAATAGACCCCTCCCTCTTATCACCGGATGGCAAATCTTTTAGCCATTGGGGTTAGCTATACTCAGAGAGTCTTGTATTCGAGTTGTAAGAGAGGTATTTACTATATTTGTACAATTACCTTAGTTAATTGGGTTTATAGGTTGTTCCGTGGCCCTGGGGATTAGACAGACTCCAATATAGGCCTGTATACCTCAATTACCTAAAAAATAAAATTAAAAGAATAATATATACTTAATACTTATGTATGTATATGTATCATATAATTTTATCAAGTATTCATAATTATTTCATCTTGAAATTTTCCCTGATATCTACCAATGCTAAAGTTAAGATGAACCAAATGGTATTACAAGAAAGACAACAGTATATGATCAAGTGAGAATTTATAGTGTATATATACACACACACATGTGTGTGTGTGTGTGCACGCACGCGTGCACTAAAGTTAAGATGAACCAAATGGTATTACAAGAAAGACAATAGTATATTGTCAAGTGCGAATTTATAGTGTATACACACACACAGATATATATATATATATAGCCTAAGCATATATATGTAAAATAAGGTAAAGTATTTTATAGGAACTCACATTAAGGAAGATTATTATGAGTAAGGATCTAATGTTATGATATTCTAATGCAAATTTAATGTATCATAGACGGCTAATTTTATCCTACTTTTGTTCTTTTGATACGATTCTTTCTTACTAGCTATGTAATTCAGGACACATAATTGCATAATGATGGTAATGGAATTTTTTATACTCTCCTAAGCATGTTTATGGTGGTAATGGAAGTGGTCTTAAGATTTTAATTATACATATAAATATGCCTCATATATATAACTTAGATGATTTTCTTGAACTTATAATTGGATACTTTTATTTAAATAAAACAACTGCATAAAAAAAATGAAATATTTCCTTTATTTTAAAGCAAAGTATATACTTGAAGTAATTACTAAATTACTATATCACTATTAAGGGAAGCATGACAGCGAAATTTACCATAGCCGAACCAAAATATATAAAACTCTTAAACCTTACATCGTTGCAACGATATAATCAATGATATTCAATAAAATAAAGACATGAAGAAGAATTTAAGCATGTATTTCTTGTCAACAACTTCACATCTTATTTCTTTGAAATTTCAGCCACGCCAAAGAAATACTTACTCTCCTAAAATATTACATTAAATTTAATACTCTCTCTGAATCTGAATCTGAATCCAATCTCATATGTTTTGGAAACAATGGCGATTTCAAGCTGGCTCTGCCATAATAGCACCAAGAACATGCTCGTCAAGGTTGTTCATCCTGGAGGCCACGTAGAGCTCCATGACCGGCCTGTTCTCGCGGCTGAGATCATGCACCGAAACCCCAGATGCATCGTCGCCTACCCGCATGTGTTTAAGCAACCATGGGCAATTCTTGCGCCGGACACCACGCTAACCCTAGGGCAAAAGTATTATGTTGTGCCTGTAGGCACCATACGCAAGCTTCAGCGACTTTCTTTCAAGCATTCTCCTTCTGCTTCAGTTGAAAAAAATG